ATGGCAAAGGGGAATCATGGCTTGTGGATGCCCAGCTCAGCTTCAAAACAGAGCATGGCAAGACAGATTTCCGGCTGAGAGACTGTTGCCTATTTTGCAGTTTCTTATACATTCTTCTGGAGTATGTGAGTATTTTCTTGTTTATTTAAAGTTTATTTTTGTTAGCTTTTATTAGTTTGAGAGCCAGAAACAGAGAGAGAGAGAGAGAGAGAGAGAGAGAGAGAGAGAGGTGTGTTCCCATCTGCTAGTTCACTCTCCAAATGCTCACCATGGCTCCAGGGCCATGGTGGAACCCAGGAGCTGAGAACTCAATCAAGGTCTCCTGCGTGGGTAGCAGTAACTCAGTCACAGTCATTGCCACAGCCTCACAGGATTTGCATTAGCAGAAAGTACAATCTGGAGAGGAATGGAGATTTGCTCCTTGCTTTTTTGTGTTAGTTTGGAAATCTTTCTATATTTTTGACATATTTTATGTACTCCATTTATATAATTTTTGACACATTCAATTGACTTCCTTTCTTTGTTGAGTTTATTTACTATAGGAATAATCAGCTCTGTAATGCTGGCATCCCATATGGGCGCCAGTTTGAGTCTCAGCTGTTCATCTTCCAATCCAGCTTCCTGCTAATGTGCCTGGGAAAGTAGCGGAGGATGGTCCAAGTCTTTGGGTCTCCATGTAGGGGACCCAAAAAAAGCTCATGACTCCTGGCTGATGGCTTTGGATCGGCTCAGCTCTTGCTGTTGTGGCCATTTGGGGAGTGAACCAGCAGATGGAAGACCTCTTTCTCTCTGTCTCTACCACTCACTGTAACTTTGTCTTTCAAATAAATAAAATTAATCTTTTAAAAGAAGTGAAAGTATATCTAAGAAAAATTTAGAGTAGTTTGGTGGAACTAAAGGTAGTGATTTAAATTCTCCTAGATACTTTTAAATGAACCTTCAAATAGATTATAGTACTTTTTTACCCATAATGTTTAAATTTATATTTTCCCAAGGCCACAAGATTGTATATATTTAAAAATAGACTAAAAAAGTTTTCTCTATCTTTACTCATTTCTTATTTTATTGTATATTTTAAAATTACTTATAAAGTTCAACATTATTTAATTTATTATATTTTGTGTTTATCTATTTAAGTACTTGCATTTTCTACTGACAGGATGATTTTCTTATTAATTTATAATACTTTCTTACATACTGAGGGAATTAGCCTTCTGTAATATGCATTAAGATTCATGTTCTTTACTTTTCTTTTGACTTTGTTCCTCAGATATAGAAATTTCTTTTATGTAAAATTTATATAAATTGCCACCATATATTACAAGTGACCAATGCTGTCTCTTACAACTTTATTTTTTAATTTATTTATTTTTATTTATTTATTTGAAAGAGTTACAGAGAGAGGTAGAGAGAAAGAGAGAGGTCCTCCATCTGCTGGTTCATTCCTCAGATGGCCACAACGGCTGGAACTGTGCCAATCCAAAGCCAGGAGCAGGTGCTTCTTCCTGGTCTCCCATGGGGTGCAGGGCCCAAGCACCTGGGCCATCCTCCACTGCCTTCCCAGGCCACAGCAGAGAGCTGGACTGGAAGAGGAGCAGCTGGGACAAGAACTTGGGGCCCATATGGGATTCTGGCGCCGCAGGCGGAGGATTAACCAAGTGAGCCACAGCGCCAGCCTCTTACAACTTTATTTTAAATATGTTAAAAATGAACTTAACATGCAATTATGTTATGATGAAAAATAAGGAAGAGATTCAAATTTAACAGTTTCCCTAGTCCTTCATATTAAATAATACTTTATTGATGTCAAAAGCTGGCTTTCACATGTATTCAATTCCCATGGGCAAGTTGCATAATTTTGAACACTATTATGTTCTATTGATCAGAACATGCTAGAATGCCAGAATGTCATCTTTAAAAAAATGAGTTAGTTGTTGGGGCTGTTCATTTCCATTGATTTGAGTCCAAAAGCAAATGGGAGGTTTTAGGACATAAGTAGAGTCTTCTCTGATAAATTTTTCAGATGTGATCTTTTTGATTGTAACCTCTATAGAAATTTATTAATTTTTCTTGGGTGTCTTTCACTTCCCGCTTAGTAGTTTTCTCTTTGTTTATAACATCATCTCTGTCTAGCTGAGATATTGGATGGTTTGTACTCTCATTTGTCTCCTTAATTTTTTTTCCTTAGTCTTTGAAATACTGTTCCTTACAGGGTGCTGTTCAAAACAGCAGTGAACATTTCAGACTGTCTTTGCAGTAATATTGTAGAGGACAAAGATCAGACCCATTTTTTACAAGTAATAGAATTCAGATGCATCAAGGGGTGTGTTGAAATAACCAGGGGGTATGGCTAGAGAATGATTGACATGGGGCCAGGTGAGAGGAAGTGTCAGTCAACGGCTGTCTGAGGAAGGCGCACCTGAGGTCTGAGGACTATGGAGAGAGTGGTCATGTTCCTGTTCTTCAGCAGGATGTCCAGGGCTGTGTTTACCACACACTGAGGCTTGGCAGATAGTCATTGAATGGCTGAATCAATCAGTAATGGCCAGAGGTTCTGGCCTTGGACGTGGGAAGCACTTTAGTTTATGCTGTCTTTAAACTTCTATTAGGAGGAACTGTTTAGACAAGTTAACTGGTAGACTTTTACTTTGGGGAAGAAAGAGATTTTCCTTCAGTTTTTATTCATTACTTATTGCAAAAGTGATTTTGCAATGACTGATTTCAACATTTCTCCCTGGGCTTTTAAACCACCCTGGCCCTCAGCAAGCCCCAGCATGTTTCCAAAATCAGGGTTTTCCCTTCAAGTCCGACCTCCCAAACTGCCATGAGAGAGCTTTGCAAATCCACACCTGTGTGGGGCATAGACTAGAAGCAAGGAAGAAGTGGAAACAGCCTAGCGGACCCAGGGGTTGTGTTTTCAGAATTTAGCCTCTCCCCAAACAATTCCTATGCATCAAAAAGCTCATGTTCAGACATGATCTCCAAGCATAGATTTGCAATGGATTCTACATGAGCTCCGTCTTGTGCTTCTTCAAAATTATTCCCACTGTGTAATCTTCCAAGAAAAGAAATTCAAACTTCTGTAAGAAACTTCTTTTTCTTCCTTTTAATTGGTTGCTTAAGTAACAAAATATAAAATAAAAAAACCCAGATTAGATAAAATGGTGAATGTTTCAGCCCTCTGCTAGTTTTAATGACTTTTTTTCCTTTAGCTTGTTTTTAAGATTGAAGGCTGGTAAGGTTTTTTTTTCTTTTTTTACAATTGCTTCTTTTTATGATTATTGATCTCTTTTAGCATTATAATTTTAAATACTTGATAAATTTCCTTCTTTGATCTGGCCTACTTGTCACTCAGCAGTCTTTAAAACTCTGGGGCCTTTCTTTCATTCTTGACATTTGCTATTGTCCGCCAGTCTGAATACTTCGCCCGCTATTCTCAAAAGCGTCCCAGAAACACTAAGAGAGTATGCTGCAGTATCAAGTGCCATGGCTTCAGGCTCTGCCGCAGCTGCCCACTTTCTAAAAGCTCCCTTTATTCCTCGCAACTGCACTTATCCAATTCAGACTAACAAATGTCAGCTCTTTTCCCTCTGCCTTTCATGCAAACCACACACACGCGCACACACACAAACCCTTGAAAGTGTAATAAATCCCTCCCTCTGCACAGTGTACATTAATACACCTTGTAATTGCCTTTCCTTGTTGGTTTTAGTCCTTTACCCAATTTTTTTTTCATTCCTTTTGTACTCTGGCTTCCTCAGCTTTAGTATTCCCAGCTTTGAAATCCAAGTTGTAAATGCAGAAAACATGTCTACCCATTTAGGACAAACTGAATAACTTCAATTGTAGAGGTTATAGCACTGTGTCTGGTGGTACTGCTCGTTAAAAGCACTTATCTGTTGGTTTATGAGAAAGTAGCTGTTCTTATATTCAACACTAATCATCTATGAGTTTCAGAGCAGGCTTCAGTGCTTGGTGGAAGTAAGCAGTATAATAGTATGCCATAGTGTATGTGTGTAGGAGTGTGTGTGTGTATTTATACACACACACGAATATATATAATATAGTATATGTATAGTACTACAAGTTTCCTTCACAAAATTCATCGAAAATGGAATTCAAAGAGGAGTTTATTTTGGTGCAAAAAATTAAAATCCATGCACACAAGCAGTCTTCAAAAATTTAAAGTTTGTAGACTCAAAAGGCTTCCACAGCCTTGGCAGCTCATGTCATGTCTACTCCTCTTGCCAGGTTTTTTTTTTTAAAGATTTATTTATTATGTGAATGGCAGAATTACAGAGAGGCAGAGGCAGAGAGAGAGCTCTTCCAACTGCCAGTTCATTTCACAAATGGCTGCAATGGCCAGAGCTAGGCCAATGCAAAGCCAGGAGCCAGGAGCTTCATCTGGGTCTCCCATATTGGGGCAGGGACTTGGGGCCATCCTCCACTGCTTTCTCAGGCATATTAGCAGGGAGCTGGATCAGAAGTGGAGCAGCCGAGACTCAAACCAGCACCCATGTGGGATGCTGGCACTGCAGGCGGCAGCTTTACCCACTAGCCGCAGCACCAGCCTCTCCTCTTGCCAGTTTTGAATAACATTTATTAGGAATAGCCATATTTTTGCTGTATAGAATTAACACTGGATGCGTGTGTCCTTGGAGAAGATCATTTAAAACAAATGTATAGATTATTCTGTCTCTGCTGAGTCAAGTATATGATCTAAAAGAGTTCTTTACTTCACTGCAGGCTATTTAGCAGGAATCAAGACTTTCCTTACAAGGAAACTGGAGTTTTTCTGTTGCTATAGACATTGTCCTATAAAATAGTTCAAATTACCACAGAAATCTTACAGAGTGATAGGCACCAACACTCCCTTAGGAATATAAATGGATCTTTTCTCCAGATCTCAAGGATTTTAGGAGCCAGATGGGACTTCAGAGACATGTTTGGAAGGGAATCCGTTAAGGTCCTTTTTGAGCCAATATTCCATGAGCCAATCCTTTGCTGCTCAAAGAATACTCCACAAACATGGATCATTGACATCACTGGATCCACAAGAGAGCTGGTTAGAGATGCTGCATCTCTGGCCATACCCCACCTGCTGCATCAGGACTTGCATTGTAACCAGGTCTCAAAGTGATTCAGGTGCACAGGAGAGTTGAGACGCCTTGATCCACCCTAATTCCTTCATTTTTCTCAACAGTAAGCCAATGCTCAAAAAAAAAAAAAAAATGAAATTAGCTTGCCCAAAGTCACTAGTTGAATTTGTACTTAGGAGAATTAGCACCATACTACATAAATTAAGCTTTCCATTCTGAATAAAACTTTCTTTTATTCAGGCATCTAATTCCTTCATTGAAATTCTGGGTTGGGCCAATGCCCAGCCTGGGCCAGCCATCTCCATACAACTGCAGGACTTTCTTCACTGGTGATGATCTATGTGTGCTTGGTAAATTAGGCTCCTGTGCTATTTAATGCCTGAAATGGGGACAGTGGACTTGGAGAGCTGGAAGCTAGCAGCTGGGGAAGAATGAGGTTTCTGTCTCTAGGACATGTTAACCACTCAACTTTAACATGGAACAAGAAGGAAGCTCCGCGGCTTTTGTTTGGATAGTCTCACATGCTGCAAGTATCTCAGGCCTTGTTCTGGGAAAGTAAGTTGCATCTGTCATAGTTTCCAAAAAAGTAGCACTAGAAAAACCCCTAGGTTGTTGACTATAAGCTGGAAAAAAGTGCAAGAAAATTGTTGCAGTCGTGTATAAGGCTAACAGCTTTTTTGAAAACGTACAAAGAAACTGGTAACTTGCTGTTCTTCAGCAAATGTCATGTCCTTGTTCTTGTGTTTGTTCTGAGGATTTTCTTCATAAAAAAAATGAGTGGTTTGCTATGACTTCTGACTCACCTGGCTAGGAATGAATAAAGCATCAAACTGTGTTACTTTAAAAAATATATTGCAAAATATTTCAGAGAGAATCATAAGCGAGACCTGGCTCGTCCCCATGTGGTTGTGTTGATAAGTGGTCCCTGTTTCCCCAACTGTTCATTGCTGCCTATTTCCATGCATCTCTGCAATATGATTTTGCAAAACCTCCTATCAGGAGTTGAAGTCTACTTCTATAGCTGTTGGAGAATTTTATCTTTTACTGGGTAAATATAAAGGCAGTATTGGAAGGCATATTGGAAGGCATATTATGCCAGTTCAAAACACAGGTTCAAAAGGTTTTATATACTCCCCTTCTCTTTCAAACAACCTATGACACATGAATGAGCCTACACTAGCCTGCTGGATATTGAGAGGCCCCAGGCATTGGAGGGAAGCCCTGAACCATTCTCCCTGTCCCAGCTGAAACTAGCACAAGTCAGCCTTCCAGCAGGTACACACCTTAACTGTAGGCTTGACAGTAAGCCCAGTCAAGATCAACCAATCCCAGTCCATTTTGTACAGTCCACTTGCAGGCATGCGAAAATATGTAGTAAATGATGGTAAAGAAATGAAGTTGGTGGGCAATTTGTTACAATATTGTCATGACAATAGATAATTGCTGTACCAATGTTATATTTTTAACACTTTCAATGTTACTTAACATTTCTAAAGGGAAAATAATTTCTTGGGCCATGATTAGATTAAAGTTTGGGGGATCAGAGTCTATTAGTGATAGAATATTATAATTAGTCCTCAACTATAGACAGAACTTATAACTAAAGAAATGGAGGCCTAGAAAGGAGAAATAAATAACCTTGTTTCATCCAGTTTAGAGTAGAATAGGACATAGTCTCTTGTCTCCAAAGTCTTTGAAAGTCTCAGCCTGCTCTTTATGCATATACTCTTGAGTTTTGCTTGTCTGCCAACCAGCAAGCCTTTGAAAACACAGCTTCAGAAAACAAGAGATTACAGTTACAGAGACTACTGCTTTGACCATATGATTAATTGGTTTCTAAAGGTCCTCTCAAATCTTTGTTAGAAGTAATCCTTACTTTGCCATTTGGGTTTTTTGAAAAGATTAGTGGGTAGTTTTTATCATCACCACAGGACTGCATACTTGATCAGCCCTATGTCTACTTGTAATCTAGCAGAGAATTTTTTGTGTTATAATAAAATACACTTGAACATGATATATTTCTACTCAACACATATTAGTGAATTTCTTCACCAGTATGAATTTACTTCCCTGGCAATCTAGGATTCAGATGGCTTCTGTTCTTTTCAAGGTCTAAGAATCATTCTTTGCATGTTCTTGTTAATAAAATATTTTAAATTAAGCCATTTGATTTGGATTTACAATAATCTATTTTTAGACCGTTCAATAAATTTGAGGCTTCAAACAATTGTGCAGTTTGCACTAGTTCATATGGACTGAAGGGAAAAGGACTATGTCAAGCTAAAAGATGCTCACTGAAGCATCGTGTCTAAGAGGTTTTTGTATCACAGAAATCTCTTTCTATACATAGAGCCTCAAGGAAATAAGAACTGGCAGAAGCAGACAGTTTTAAATCCAGGGCCCTGAGTAAAAATTTGGGAAGGAATGCCTCACCCAAATCCAAAGATAAAACCTCCTCCCCCTTTTTGCTGGTCTCAACCTCAGATCTGAATTGAATAGGGAGAAGTTGAATAGGGAGAGAGCAAAGAAAACATTGAACATTGGCTGGCTTCCTTCCTTCCTTCCTTTCTGTCCTTGTTTTTCTCTCTTTTTCTTCCTTCCTTCCTTTCTCCTCCTCCTCCTCCTTCTCCCCCTCCTCCTCCTCCTCCTCCTCGTCTTATTGTTGCTGCCAGGATGGGAATTGTTTCCAATTGTCTTCTAGCAACAGCACTGTAATACAGGCCACCTAAGGCCAGTGCACACAAAACCTTGGTTAAGCAGCCGTATAAATAGCAGAACACTGATGCCTCAAACTTTCACTCTACATTTGCTTCCATCTCATGCAAAGGCAGCACTAGCTGGAGTTTTCTATTTTTCTTACAATTCATTTGTATTCAACCTCATCTTATCTAAACAGTTTCCCTTGGTGCTGTTTGGGCCACAGTTATGCTCTGACAACTGGACATCTCTGGATTAAGAATAATTTCTCAAACTTTAATAAGAATGATGATCTACTTAGCATTCTGTTAAAATATGAAGATACTTTACAAAGTTCATGGAATCTTGGTGCAAAAAATTGGAAACTGTGCAGTTTTTAATAATACGCATTTTCCTTGAACAGTTTGAAGATTTCTCAAACAGATTCTAGTTCTAGGTCATGGGTTAGGTCCTAAAACATTTCATTTTAAACAAATTAAAAGGGATCGAAGGTGAAGCTGTTGGTCTGAGTCTCTGAAACTATGTTTCTGAAATTTTAGCATGCCTCAGAATCATCTGAAGAGGCTCCAGCCCGGAGATACTGATTCCGTGAGTCTAGGTTAGCACCCAGGATTCTGCGTTTTTAATAAATCCCAGGTGATGCCAATGCGTCTGGTTCCTGGACCATACTTAGAGTTTTAGAGAAGGTATCTAATAGAGACCTATGAGTGAACTGATGGAAAATCTCATAAATCTTGATTCTGTTGTTCAAGTATTTGATTTGCATAGGGAAAGTGATTTTGGGAAACCAGCTGAGAAATTTTGCCTAAGGCAGTTCCTTCTGCTTTCAAATTATCATTTTAATACAAGATTAAATACATATGACTAGGGGCTGTAGGGCTGGGAAATAAATGAGAAGCCTGGAAGGTCAATAGCATAGGTTTTAAATCAGAAAACCTGATCTCCAAGCCCCTGTATGACCTCCCACTTTGAACCTTTCTCGTCATAAATAAGACTCTCACAGCAATATCTAAATTGCATATCATATTTTACCTCTGTTTTAGGATTTCTTGCAAGGATGCCAAAACACAAGCATGGGACTCTGAAAATATTGACGTATTCCTTGCCTGTGGAAGTCCTGGTAAGAATTAAATCACACCAACTATTGCACAACTGAATATCTCTGCATAATACAATACCTCCCTAACCTATGAAAGCCCTGTGTACGAGGAGCTGTGATTAGTCCATTAAACACATAGTCTCATATAAATCTTAGGCCAACCCAGTGAGCAGATGAGAAAACTGAGTCTGTGAACCACAAGATCAAAGACTCATTTGCTGAAAATCTGGGCTCCATACCTTTGCCACTGAAAGCATGGCTGAAGAATGAGCAGGATAAGCATTGAGGACAGCTAGTTAGAAACTCTGAATCTCCCTCTCCACCTCCGACCTACTTAACTGAGTCTTATTTTAACGAGATCCCAGGTGATTCCTGTGTATTTCAGAATAGTGCTCAGGCTCACTCTGACACGTTGTCTCTTTACCAAGAAAGGATTTTTGCAGAGTCATTTTCTTTATTGGAAATACTTTCGCACAGATCCGGTAAGACATCAAAGGCAGTCATTTTCATCACCAGCAAAGGGAAGGTTTGATTGCTTTGGGAGGAGAACTGCTTGGCAGCACATCAGAGTTCAGGGGGAGTTGCATGTGCTGACACAGATGATTCCTGGCTTTCTTGGGCTGGATTGGGAGCTGATGTGCAGCCATCATCCAGAAGCAAATTAGATCATACAGCAGGGCTTGTTTTCTAGAGCCAGTTTTTGACAAAGAGATTGCTCACCTTTTGTAGGGGGCTTCAAATGGTAGAGTTAAATAAAGGAACAGAAGAATCATCTTGTTTGAGTTTTGGGGAAAACATAGATAATAGGAGACAGGCAAATTTAGCATCAGACTAAAGCAGGAACCCACATCTATGAAACAGGACAACTCTGTCTACTGCCTTGTATTTAAAGAATTAAAATAACAGCCATGGGGCTGGCATTGTGGTGGAGAAGGTTAAGCCACCACCTGCAGCACCGGCATCCCACATGGGCACCGGTTCAAGTCCTGACTGCTCCACTTCTGATCTAGCTCCCTGTTAATGTGCCTGGGAACGTAGCAGAAGATGGCCCAAGTCCTTGGGCCCTTGAATCCACATGGGAGATCCAGAAGAAGCTCTAGGATCCTGGCTTCTGCCTGAGCCAGCTCTGGCCATTGTGACCATTTGCGTAGTGAACCAGTAGATGGAAGACCTGTGAGTGTGTGTGTGTGTGTGTGTATCCCCATCTCTGTAACTCTGCCTTTCAAATAAATAAAATCAATATTAAAAAATACAAGAGCTTATTATTTTTCTCAAAAGTACAGGTTAAAGGTAGACAGTGATTTAACTCAGGCTCAACCAACCTTGATAAGATTCTCTCATGAGTCGCCTTTAAGACCTCCAGGATGGTTTCAATTGGGATGATTCTCCTCTTCCGTGTGTCTCTCATCCACATTTTGTTCACTTGGTAGCTCAGTGAGATTCCTTGCAAAGAGATGGAAATAGGCATGATGTTTTGGGGCTTAAGCTGACCCAATATCCTGTCACTTCTGCTGTATTTTACTGACCATTGTGAACTGAAAGGCCATTCCATATTCAAAGGCTGGGAAAGTATACTCTGCTTCTTTATTTTTTTTAAAGATTTATTTATTTATTTATTTATTTATTTGAAAATACACAGAGAGAGAAGGAGAGGCAGAGCAAGAGAGAGATCTTCCATCCTCTAGCTCACCACTCAATTGGCTTCAACGGCCGGAGCTATGCTGGTCTGAAGCCAGGAGACAAGAGCTTCTTCCAGGTCTCCCATGCAGGTGCAGGGGACCAAGAACTTGGGCCATCTCCTACTGCTTCCCTAGGCCATAGCAGAGAGCTGGATTGGAAGAGGACTCAAACCGACGCCCACAGGGGATGCCAGCACTGCTGGTAGCGATCCTACCCGCTACACCACAGCCCTAGTCCCACACTCTGCATCTTAGCAGGAGCAATAGCAAGGTCAGATTGGCAAAAGGCGTGGGGATATCAGGAAGTTGGAGAACTGAGGCTATTATTTTTTGCAATTGGCTGTATTTCTACTGATTACCTCTTATAGGTGAAACAGTTATTAGTATGTTCAATGTCACCCCAAAATTTCATTCTGATGTTCATGCTCTGACAACTTCTCCTGGTTAGATATATTTGGGGGCAATTGCATAAACTTAGAGACATTGATTGACCACCCCAAAAAATGTACTCCTTCAACTCCAATGGAGACAAATGAAAGAAGGAAGCTAAAAGAGCACAGATTCATTACCTAAATTAAGGGCTCAATAGATATCAAATCCCTCCTAAATGTACTAAATGAAAAGACAGTCTATTGCCAAGCATTGGTAAGTTTGTAGAATAACTGGGGCTGTGCTATACTCCTAGAGGGAAGGTAATTGGTAAAACTCCATTGCAGAATTGTTTGACTTTGTTCATTGTAGCTGGGGATATGCTTGTTCCATGACCCCAGAAATTCTACTCCTAGGTACAAGTCCAGCAGAAACATTAAAAAAGTTCATCAAGAATGTTTAAAGCAGATATCTTTATAATAGTGACAAAAATGGATAAGCATATTATTATACAGTCTTGAATGGGATAATTTACAGCATTGAAAATCAATGCTATATAACCCTTTATAACACTATATAAATGTCAAAACCTGAAATGGAACAGAAGAAATCAAAACAGGACATATTGCATAATTCCATTGATCTAAACCATAAATATGCAAAATTAATCAATAATATTGGAAGTTAGTACACTGGTTTCCTGAATCAGAGAGGGAACAGAAAGGGTTTATAGAGTGTCACTAAGTTTTAGTTTTCTGATCTGGGTGATGCTTACCCAAAGGTTTTACAAGTATTTTTCAGCACTTTATGAGTGCTAGCATATTTTTGTTATGAGTATTATGCTTTAATGAAGAGTTATTAAGAATCAGAGATAGAGAACAGCTCTGAAATAAGATGAATCTGAATTCAAACTCAGTTCTTCTTCATAGCCTTGCACAACATTCTTGAATTCTCTGAGCTCCTATTTCTTCATCCATATGATGGTGATAATTTAGCATTATCATTGTCTTTAAAATGATTACATTTTAAGATGTGCAAAGTTTTCTGTGCTCAATAAATGTTAGTTATTCCTCTCCATTCCTGTGGAAAATGACTAAAATTGTATTTATATCTCAGATATAATACAAATACAAATACAATACAAAGTTTTCATTTAATATTGCATGTAATCACATTTTCAACTTTATTTCTCCAAAACAAAACAAACAAAAAAACTTCCAAACTTTTACTATTTCATTACATATTAATGCGAATATTCTGAGTTCTGGGTATTATATATTAAATGGATTATAACTTCATATATCATTCTACCATCATTTATGGTGCCTATTTTCCTTTTTGCTGTCACTGATTATTTTGCTGTTCATGCATAAACCATATTTTAATTACTTATTAACAGTCATTTGGAGTAATGTTTTTCTGAAGGGACTCTGCCACAGTAAAGTTATTACTTCAATGAATAAATAGCACAAAAACTTACTCTGTCCAATTTAAGGACTGAAAGCCATTCATCCTCCAAAGCTTCAAAATGATCCTGAGGCATAATTGAGTGAATCATGCTAGAACAGTCTGTCCTGGCTTCTGATTATTTGTGCCAGGAGTGGCAAGCATGGTGGGTGGCAGTAGGAAATCTTGACTCCAGCTTCCCCTGTTCTTGTTCTGAAACCCTTTGGGGCTACTTCATTAGAAAGTGGAAAAGAGAGAGAGTGAGGCATGGAGGTGATTTCAGAGATGCTAAGAATATTGGCTGCTCCCCAAAGCTCTCGGCAGCAATCCACACACAGGCACACACATAAACACAACAGCCAGCCAATAACAAGACCTTCTGGAAGTCATAGCTGTGACAGAGGAAAAAAGTACTCAAGGGTGTCAATGAGATAGGGAAGCTGGCTTCCTCTATCTCACAATTCTGCTTAGACTTCACCCTTGCTCTTTCATGTCCTCATCTAAAGGAAAATCAAGATTCATTGAAGTGGGAGGGCATCTGGCCTAGTGGTTAAGAAACTGATTAAGATGCCTGCATCCCTTGTGAGAGTGCCTGGGTTTGAATCATAGCTCTGCTTGGTCCTGAATCCAGCCGACTGCTAATACATACCCTGGGAAGCAGCAGATGATGGCTCATGTACTTGAAGCAAATGTTACACAGAGATCATGTGAGATGTAATTCATGGGTCTTTGGAAGCCTGTTATTTGAGAAAAGGAAATAAGAAATGGATTGATTGGAGGGAATTCAGGATTTGGAGAAAGGACCTGGATGCCAGGTGAAATCTCATGTTGCTAATGGAAGTCACCTAACTTGTTCTGTGCAGCTGGTGATTTGATGTGAGAGTGGAGCCCAATAGCACCCAGCTACATGCATTCAGGCAACTGCTGAAATGGATATATCAGGTACTGTCTCTGGAGGAGAGAGGATGGAAAAGTAAAGAGCAAACATCAAGGGCAGGACTAGGAAAATGTCCATGCATACTGGAGAGATGGCATAGAAGAGTCTGAGAAACAGAATGTGAGAATCAACTGATATGATTTTAAGACACACTAAGAGTTAAGGGTCAAGATTCCTGTTGAGCGGTAAGGAGAATAAGATGGAGAATTCCTCCTTTCCAGGTCATTTGATGATTTTAGATTGGCCATTGGTTTAGGTAGTCAGGACAAGCATTGTAGAGGATGGATTTCTGTTTCTTAAAGGTGATATATTGTTAAGACTATGGATTGTAGGCCATATATCATTTGAGACATTAAAAATAAAAGAAGAGCTATTAATGTAGAACACAGGAAAGATTTTTGTGGTTTTTGGTTGCTTTGCATTTTTCTTCCTTGATTTCTCTCTCTTTTTTTTAAATAGGGGAAAATATGTGCTGTGTACAGAAAGCAAGAGGGAAGATTAAAGGTACTCTTTGTAAGATAAGTGGTGAGAGGAAACCTTGACAAGACCTACTGAAGAACAGAGCTTCTCAAACTTGAAGGCACATAAAAACCTTTGTGAGAGCAAATTGAAAAAGGTTCCCAGACTCCCCTCCTGAGATTTTAATGTGGTGGGGCCCAGGAATATGCATTTCTAACAAGCTATGCTGATGTAGGTGTTCTCTAAGCCATTTCGTGGCAGCTCTTTAGCCTCCATTTTTTTGGGAACATTTAGTTTCCAGACACCCTGAGACTCTGCCCTTTTGGCTTTCTACAAATAATACATTGCGCTTATTTTCCATCTTTGTTTCCAGCACCATCCTTCTCTTCCTTGTTTCCTTTTCCTATGAAACTATAAGATGCCCAGGGGTGGGTTTTTCTACCTCTGTCTCTATGTATGTGATATATATGTAAATAATTTATATGAATAGCTCTAGACAGATCCACAGGCTTCTACATGCCCATATATTGTCACTCTTTCTATCTCTATGTGAAATTATCTCTCCAACTGTTCTTCCTGCCTTACTTGGAAACTACTTGCCTCTATTTTTCTACCAAATTTCACTGACTTTTACAGTCTGCTGACTGACAAAGCGCTCTGTAATACCTTCCCCTCACAGTTCAGCAAAGGCAGATATGTGTTTGTTGATAACATCCCAACCCAAAATGTGCTTCTTGATTGAATCTGGATTTCAGTGAGCCAGCTTTGAAAGTTTTTGAAAGCAAGTGGAGAAATTTAAATGTGGACTGAAGTATAAGATAACATTATTCAATTATTTTTGTTGAGTAAGATACTGATAAGTTGTAGTTATATAGGAAATGTACTTACTTTTACAATGCATGCTGTACTTAATAGAGTAAGGCAATAATATTATGATGTCTGTAAATTTGTCTAACTTACAAAAAAGAGATGAAGAAATTATGACCAAATTTTAAATAGGGTTGGATCAAGGTGGTGTATGAGTTTTCCATATCTTATCCTCCATACTTTTCTGTATACCTGAAATTTTCCCAAATTAAATAGACAAGAAAAAGAACAGTATATTGAAGTAATTAATTTTTTCTGGTCCTAAAATTTTGAAGAAATAGTAAAACATTTGTTAATAAAGAAGTTATTTATCAGTGGTTATGAGATTATTGATTAATAGGATTTCTAAAAGTGTTAACTAGCCCAAATCTAGTAGTTGCTTTATTTTCTTGGAGGCAGTACATACCTTTGCTTAGAATCTAGATACATTTCCACACAGCCAACTCGTAGAATGACAGACAATCCTCAGAATCAACCCTTAAGGCTTCCTGGTTTGGCTGAAAAGCCCTTGAGAGCATTTCAGGCACGGAAAGCCAAGACACTGTGGCAAAATATGTTTTTCATGAAGGATCTCTGTGAGTGAGACCCCAGTGGAAAGAAGTGGCCATCAAAGAAGGATGTACTTTTCTCTAAAGGGAGGAGAGAACGTCCACATTGCTTATGGCCTTATCTAAAAACTGATGGAGTCCGTGGATTCAAAAGGATTCCTTGGGGCCGGCGCCGTGGCTCACTTGGTTAATCCTCCGCCTTGAGGTGCCAGCATCCCATATGGGCACCGGGTTCTAGTCCCGGTTGCTCCTCTTCCAGTCCAGCTTTCTTCTGTGGCCCGGGAAGGCAGTGGAGGATGGCCCAAGTGCTTGGGCACCTGCACCCACATGGAAGACCAGGAAGAAGCACCTGGCTCCTGGCTGCGGGTAGGCACAGCGCCGGCCCTAGTGGCCATTTAGGGGGTGAACCTCATGTCAAGAGCCTCAGGTGGTCACTGACTTCATACATAAGAGTGTTAATTGTTAAATTAACAACAGAATTCACTGTGTACTTACTCCCCATACCATGCAAAACTTCTGTCCTCAATGAGTTGTATTATGAGAGTTAACTAAAACTAGGTCTCACACAGTTTTTTGTGTATATGCATGTGTGTGTAAATTGTTGAAATCTTTACTTAGTACAGAGTTGGTCTTCTGTGTACAAAATTAATTGAAAATGAATCTTAATGGAGATTAGGACTGGGAAGAGGAGAGGGGGGAGGGGGAGGGGTGGGAATGTGGGTATGGTGGAAAGAATAACTATATTCCTAAAGTTGTATTTATGAAATTTTAAAAAATAAATAAGCTAATTAATAACAACAACAACAACAAGAATCTGGATAAGCTTGCCTAATTGATGCTATTCTCCAAGGCTGAGATTGGCAATCCCTTTGCAATACGAAAATGGCAAATGCTAGAACAAACTCTCTAAGGTCCTCTGTGAAACACATTCTTTGCCTCTGGCATGCAATGGTAGTAATTCCCTGATCTTCAGCAGCAAAAAAAAAAAAAAAAAAAAAAAAAAAAAAAAAAGGTGGTCCCAGCTGAGGCTTACTGGCTCCCTACTTGGGGTGGCTGGCTGTGAATAGCTGGGTGCTGATTCCTCCCTAGGTTCAGGATCAGCCTGGGGACACATGCTTGGCATGACTGTCTCTCTGCTGATTCCCCAGGTACTGATGATTATATCTTAGGGGAAACATCATGGGAGAAAAGAAGAATTGGTCCTTGAAATTTACAAGAAAGAGTCACCCTTTTTTATTAGCAGGGCTTCTTGCTTCATCAGAAATCTGGTTGGGTACCTACCTCTGGGTTAGCGCCAGGACCCCCCATCCCCCACACAGAAGCTCTACAGAAAGCCGATGCCTGGTGATTCTGTATCCTGAGACAAACAGATGAAAGTAGAGGTTCAGTTAGGCAAGGGGGACATCTAGGGGACTAGATTACTAAATTGGAAAACTAGGAATGCGTGAGCACAGGTTTGAGAAGGTATCCGGAGTGAGTCACTTCTGAGGAAGAATTGCTGTCATGGAGAAGCCATAGTCCCTGAAAGGGATGGAGCAATAAGTGGGTGCAAACTGTTGAAATTTTTACTTAGTACATACTAAATTGATCTTCTGTATATAAAGATGAAAAAAAGAAGGTGCCGAGAAGACATTATTTATGCAACTTGCAAACTGTACCAAAATATGCTTTTGATTTTGGAAACTGCATATTATCAAAACTGTGCTTTTTAAAAATATATTTTTTTATTTCTTTGAAAGGCAGAGTTACAGAAAGAGGGAGAGTCAGAGACAGATAGTGAGGAAGGGAGGGAGAGAAAGAGAGAGAGAGAGACCTTCCATCTGCTGGTTCACTCCACAAATGGCTATAGTGGCCAGGACTGGGCCACGCTGAAGCCAGGAGCCTGGAACTCCATCTAGGTCTCCGACAGGGGTGGCTGAGGCCCAAGAACTTGGGCCATCTTCTGCTGCTTTCCTGGGGCACATTGCTGTGGAGCTGGGTCAGAAGTGGAGCAGCTGGGACTGGAACAGGCTATCATATGGGATGCTATCACAGATGGCAGTTAACCCAGTGTCACAATGCCAGCATCAACGCTGTACTTTCTTCCTACAGTCATGTGCTGCATAATGGCTGGCAAGTTCTGAGGAAGTCTCATTAGGCGATTTCATGGTTGTGCAAACATCATGGCATGTACTTGCATCAATCTAGATGTTGGAGGCCATGTACTCTATGTGGCCTCTTGATGCAATCAAGAGACAGTAAATAAATAAGCCAGTAACAGTCATGTATTATCATTAGCAGGTATTATGTAGTGTATGTGCTCTCCTTCTGCATGACTGGCAGCACAGTAATTTGTTTACATCAGTATCCCCACAAACATGTTACCAGGTGGTGGGATTTTTTCAGCCCTATTATAATCTTAGGGGTCCTCTGTCATATATGCTGTCCATGGTTGACTGAAAGGTTATACAGAACATGACTGTACTTTGGAAGGCCACTTAATTTTGGAGATTTAGTGTATTTATGAAAGAGGAAGATGGCATGGGACCAGATGACCTCTTCTAAACTTCTTTGTAGCTTCAATTTCCACCTATTATCTGAGCCAAGCAGCAAGGAAAAATGATTAACCCATTAGAGTTTCTAAAGTTGTTTGTCATGCCTCTGTGAGCAATTTATAGCAAATTAATGAAATATCAACTTTAGTGGCATATCATGAAGACATTTAATATAAGATTATTTAATCTATCAAATAATACAATATAATTCTTTGTGAAGTCTGCTTTAAGAGACTATTTTGTCATGAACAGAAGGAATGCTTCAATTGAAAATGGTATTGGGGCAGGCGCTGTAGCACAGTGGGTTAATGCCCTGGCATAAAGTGCCGGCATCCCATATGGGAGCCGGTTTGAGACCTGGCTGCTCCACTTCCGATCCAGCTCTCTGCTATGGCCTGGGAAAGCAGTAGAAGATGGCTCAAGTCCTTGGGCCCCTGCACCTGAGTGGGAGACCCAGAAGAAGCTCTTGCCTCCTGGCTTCAGATCGGCACAGCTCCGGTCATTGCGGCCAATTGGGGAGTGAACCAGCAGATGGAAGACTCTCTCTCTCTGCCTCTCCTTCTCTCTCTAACTCTGACTTTCAAATAAATAAATAAATCTTTTTAAAAAAGAAAATGATATTAATTTCCCAAGGTAATGTACTCTGGGTATAGAAAACAAGGATATATAGCTGAAAAGAACCATAAGACTTTGAAAAGAGAAGTTTCAAGTCAACAAATTGAAGTTCAGGACCCAGGGCTGTGTCAAAATTTGAGAGATTATAAAGTAATTGCATTATTATTGAGTCACTGCAAAAGATAGACCTAGAGCTGATGGATTCTCAGAAGGGGACAGGTTAAGTGAAGGACCAAAAATGGAGCCACTAACAGGTGTCAAGACTGTAGACACTGAGAGTATATTCAACTCACATTGGGAAGGTTTGCAAAATACTGGTACCTGGTCTGAGCCCTTGATTCGGATTTAATTGCCATAAGGTGTGGCCTGGATATCAGAATTTTACAAAACTCCCCACATGAATCCAATGTACCCTAGAATGAGAAGAAGTGTGTAGAAATCTGAGATCACTTCTAGCTAGAGAATCTGGCTTCCTGGAGAGGACCCATCCCTGCCCTTGAGGAGCTTTCTAATTGCTTTCCCAGTTCCCTCCCCTGCCTCTCTGCATTTGTTCTACTAAAAATTTTTGTCTTTATTCCTTGAAAGTGAACTAACGACAACAAACAAAAGGAAATAACTGATTATTATATCCAGGCATCAAATAACCACTACCAAGGATGGATATCTTACTTAATGTAAGTAGCTCAGTAAACAAATGCAGTGTTAAAATAAAAAAAATGCTTTCCTCCCAAGCCCGCCAGCAACTAGAACAAAAGCCCATCCATATGACTGCTGTGGTCTGATGGGTGGGTCAGTGCCATTCCTCCCGGAGTTTGTTAGTGTATGATGGAAGGCACCAAAGGCTGCTTGCTTGAATGGAAGGCTTTTGTGCAAAATTCTCTCACTCTAGGATAATAGACAAGTGGTCAGCAAACTATGGTTCAATGGACAAATTCAGTTCATTATTTTGTAAATCAAGTTTTATTGGAATATAGCCATGCTCATTTACTTATGTGTTGCCTATGGCTGTTTTTGAACTATAACAGAGTGGAATGACAAACACTGCGTGTCCTGAAAAATAAAAAAAATACTTACTATCTGGTCATTTACAAAAAAAGTTGCCAACAGCTGCATGATATCATTTTCATGCTGCAGTGTTAGCATTTTCCTACTGTGGTAGATTAATTTTAAAATGTTACCAGTTCTTCACTCCCCCCTATATCCATGTCACAATTCTTTTTATTTTTTTATTCATATAAAGGAAACAAATTTCATATATACAGTTTTAAGAGCATAATGATCCTTGGCACCCTACCTCTCCTCCTTCCCCTACTCCCAACCTCCCTCCTCCTTTTCTTATTTTCCCTTTAATTTTTACAATGACAGACTTTCAATTTCCTTTATAAACACAAGCTTAACCCTCCACTAAATAAATAATTCAATAATTCAACAAGTAGTAAGTCGAAATACCATATCCCAATTCTTCACTCCTCCATATACCCATCTCTTTTTCTGAAGCTTCCTCAACTGAGAAGGCAGCCCATTTTATGGGCTATTGAATCCTGGCTGGCCTTGTGAGTTATTTTGACCTATAGAATGCCAGAAAAGTAGCACTACACTCATCTTGAGCCTAGACTTTGAGAGGCATTGCAGATTTCTGATGTCTGTCTTTGAATCCTGTCTCTGAATTCATTTAGGCTAGCATACTGGATGATGGGAAACACACAGCCAACCCCCAGTAGTATAGTTACCTTTCTATACTGCACCTGGCTCCTGGTGCATGAGTGAGCCTGATCAAGACCAAAAGAAGTTGTAAGCTCAGCATAAACAGCCTAACTGCAGATGCGTGGGGTAACTACATGTTTGATTTTTTTTTTTATTTGACAGGTAGAGTTATAGAAAGTGAGAGAGAGAGGGAAAGAAAGGTCTTCTTTTCACCCCTCAAATGGCCGCTACAGCCGGCGCTGTGCCAATCCAAAGCCAGGAGCCAGATGCTTCCTCCCAGTCTCCCATGTGGGTGCAGGGACCCAAGGACTTGAGCCATCTTCTACTGCTTTCCCAGGCCATAGCAGAGAGCTGGATTGGAAGTGGAGCAGCCAGGTCTCAAACCGGCACCCAGATGGGATGCCAGCACTGCGGGCGGCAGCTTTATCTGCTATGCCACAGTGCCAGCCCCAGTGTTTGATGTTTTAATCCATTACATTTTTACCTATCTACTGATAGGTATTAGGTCTATAAATCTTGTGATAGGATTCCTTGATATTTCCTTTTTTTGTTCAAAGTCAGGCTGAATTCTTATCCTCAAACCCCAGTCTGAGACAGAAAAAGTGGACAACTTATTGAAAGAAAGATGTTATGAAGACTAAACAGCACTTCCACCAAATACTACAAAATAAAAACAACAAGTTGGGGGTGGGAGACAGGCAGCTGATCTAGTGGTTATGATGTCCCCATCTCATATAGGAGCACCTGGATTTGAGTTCTGGCTTTGCTCCTGACTCCAGCTTCCAGCTAACGTAGACTCTTGGAGGCGATGATGATGACTCAAGTGATTGGGTTCCTGCCACACATGTGGTTTCAAATAGGAATAACAAATAGGCAAGAGCTCAGACATCAATACAAACTGACAATGAT